TATGAAATACATATGTTTAAATTCACTTATTGAATAAATAATGTGTATATATAAAATATATTTAATACATGAACATTTCCATGGATATATACAGACACACTTATGTGTATATATGTGTGTTTGTATATACAAAATGTATGTATAGGTGTATGTATATGGATGTGTGTGTGTGTCCATATAAATTCTATAGAGAGTTTTCAGCTACAAAGCAAAGATAGTGATTAGGATTGGTAGAGATAAATAACTGTCATGGGGTTAAAGAAAAGACCAGGGCAACCAGGGTAATTAGTGTGATGTTCCAGCTGGTAGAGCCATAAAAGGGGAGTAGGATTTAGATAAGGAAAGAAACAGTGAGGGGAAGCGATGTATGCGAGGGACATATTCTATGTCATAGCTCTGTATTTACCTATGTGTGATTAAAGTAAATATAAATAGCCAAATGAAAGATCTAATTGAAACTGAAGTTTCTTCCTATGAATGATAGTTAACTTTATTGCACTTTTAATATTACATAGCTTATTATATTATATCATGGGTTATAACTTCAGGGTAAAATATCTTACATCTTTCTATGACTGTATTACAATTTTCGTTTTTTAATGTCTTTGTCAAGTGTTTTGGACTGGATATGAAATATATTTCAACATTTTACATCTCAGATGCCAGCATTTCTTAATGTCAGAAGTGAAAGGCATGCCACTTTTACAATTATTATCTGTGATTATGCAGAAAACCATTTGCTCTCAACTTTTATGGATGATATTAGAAAATCATCAAGGACAATTTTTTTTTCATTTTGGAAGATGTTAAAATACTGAGTCACATATTCTTTTTTATTTTTATTTTGTTAATGTTTATTTAGTTTTGAGAGACAGAGAGAAACAGAACCCGAGTGGGGGAGGAGCAGAGAGAGAGGGAGACACAGAATCTGAAGCAGGTTCCAGGCTCTGAGCTGTCAGCACAGAGCCCAACGCGGGGCTCGAACCCATGAACTGTGAGATCATGACCTGAGCCGAAGTCTGATGCTTAACCGACTGAGCCACCCAGGTGCCCCTAATCTTTTTAATTAAATGCTCCATGTTCCCTTCTGAAGCCAAAGGTAGTGCAGTAGGGTACTGAAGCTCAAGAAAAATGAATGTCCCACAGCTTCCCAAATCTACATTCAGTGACTCTACACTGATAGCTTGGAATACCAAGGTGGGAGTATTTAAATTAAATGAGCACATACGTTAAATGAGGTAATTTTGTTTGTTTTCTGGAAAGCAGGTGGTTAAACATTCATTAGTATACTGAGGGTGAGATTTGGTCCAATGTATACATGTATAAATGTATACAAAGTATACAGTTTGCCCCAATGTATACAACGATACATTAAGATTCACCCCAAATAGGGGCGCCTGGGTGGCTCAGTAGGTTAAGCGGCAGCTAAGGTCATGATCTCGTGGTCCGTGAGTTCGAGCCCCGCATCGGGCTCTGTGCTGACAGCTCAGAGCCTGGAGCCTGTTTCAGATTCTGTGTCTCCCTCTCTCTGACCCTCCCCCGTTCATGCTCTGTCTCTCTCTGTCTCAAAAATAAATAAACGTTAAAAAAAAAAATTAAAAAAAAATTCACCCCAAATCAAGACTTTCTACAATTGTTTTATTCACCTGCACTTCTCCGTGGTCCAATTTACTCTTTGATATGACTCTCAGAAAATACTGTCTCCGCTGAGACCTGGTCCTGCAATAGCTCCTACTCATCTCTGCTCTTTATTAGCTCTGAAAACTGTAGAAGAGACTGATATGCTGTAGTCACTCCTGCAGGTCATGGCACTGCAGCAGCAGGCAGAGGCAAAGGTCTCACCTCCTCATGACCCCTCTTACTGGTGGGACATCACTAGGAGAGCAGGTGCATGTGGAAAGTTATGTTCCTCCACACAGTTCCTCTATGAAGCCTTCTCTAGCTTTCCAAATTTGGTTAAGACCCAGCAGTCATTTCCTAGTTCCTTTGTGTTTTTTCTCACAATGGTCTTACTGTACTTGCTAACTGAATTCTTTAACACGTCCCATAAGTCCCAGGGCATTGTGCCTCCGCCGGAATATGTGATGCGCCCTCTACTAAGTTTAAGTTCTAGGCAAAGGGGTACTTTCTCAATTAATCCTCCAAATGAGCCACTCTTTTCTGACTCTGCATTCTGACAGCCACTTCCTTTGTCTACACCCTTTCTCCTATACTTTGTTTGGCTTCATCTTCTCAATCCTTTGGCTCTACATTTAAATGTTCCTGCCTCAGAAAATTGCCGGTTTCCCAGATCAGTCAGTTCTCTCTGCTATACACCTCAATCATTACTTTCCATCCATAGCATGTATTTCAGTTCTATTTAATTAAGAAGCTGTGTGATTACCCATGTACTGTGGAAAGTTTCTACAGGAAGCTTTGTTCACCTCTCCATGCTCTTAAATAGTAAATAGCATAACAGTATGATAGGGCATGACATAACAGAGCTTGACATGACAGCAGCCCATGTCATGGGCTGTTTATTTACCCTGTTAAGTAAATATGAGCCACCACTAAAATTCACAAATAGGAGTTCAGCCCCTAGCATAGTCTTGAAGTCAAGCCATTTTCAGTCAATGGACACTTCCATAAATCATATTCAAACCATGATGGTGATAATATCAACACTGAATGGTAGTAACTGAACCATCATGAATCTGGCATATTTAGACGTAGAGTGTACCTTTCACTGAATCCAACTTGAGGATCTCATTTTTCTATTTTAGGATTTCTAGAATGTAGTGGGAATTATATGTGTGTGTGTGTTTGTGAGTGTGTGGTATACACACACACACACATACACACATATATGTATATAACATGATGTATTTGTATTTTTCCCACAATATATTATTGTGTGTCTGTGCGCGTGCTCACTACCTTCAAAACTTGCTAAAGAAAACATCTGCCGGGGCGCCTGGGTGGCTCAATAGGTTAAGCAGCCCACTTGGCTCAGGTCATGATCTCGCGGTCTGTGAGTTCGAGCCCCACGTCGGGCTCTGTGCTGACAGCTCAGAGCCTGGAGCCTGTTTCAGTTTCTGTGTCTCCCTCTCTCTGACCCTCCCCTGTTCATGCTCTGTCTCTCCCTGTCTCAAAAATAAATAAAAAAAAAAAGTTAAAAAAATAATGTTTAAAAAAATAATAATGTTTAAAAAAAAAGAAAACATCTGCCACCATTTAAAAAAAAAAAACAACTAGAGTTACCAATTACTTTTTGGAAGTACAAGCCATATCGTCTACACAATGATACAACCAAATTCCTGCAAAAGTACATTCTGCAAAGTTTTGCAAAGTATTGATTACAAGATTTTGTAAAATCAGCAAAGAGTTTCAACCTACGTATTTTGGTTCCTCCAAAACCTGAAATTATGCCTGGATGTAAAAAATTTCATAAATCAAAGAAAGTCATCCTGAAATTAGTGACACAAACAATGAGAAAGGAGGGGAGAAAACGAATGTTACCTGGAATATACTTATTAGTAAATAAGGAACATCAGGTTCTTTCCAATAATTAAAATATATTAATTAGTTCTTGACAATATCTTTCAAAAATTAACTATACAGATTTAAAAATACATATTTAGAGGCCTTAAACTATATTATATAAAATTGCTAAAAGTAATTCAGTAATATTAGAATACAGTATAAAACATGTTTTTCTCAGAGGGAAAAATGTGTGAAATTGTAACACGCTAATTAAATGAATGTTGCATGGAGTACAATCAAGAAAACTACCTCTAGAACCTTTCAAGACAGAGGGCAGGAGAAATGTACTCTGAGACATTGTCTAGGCTTGATACATTAAATGGAACAGGAGTTTCTATTTCAGGGCACTAATCTACTTTGTATTTACATTTATATTTATATTTATATTTATATTTATATTTATATTTATATTTA